AATGTTGGCCTAACTGATGTGAAGCTCAACACAGCCAATTTTTTTAATTCTGCCATGTTATATTCTTAAAATTTTTTGGCTTTACTTTTCATATTTAGGTTTTGGATGTGTCCAGGATTGTTTTTATTTGTCTTGTGAGATGGAGATCCAACTCCTTCAACAATGGATAACCAATTTTTCCATTTAGAAAAGGTCCATGCTGTTATGTTGAGCTGTAGGGGACTCAGATCAGCAATTTCTGACATTGTCAGTCAAGCGGAAGACCCAATACTATTATGGACTAGTGGACTCTTTTAGAATATTTTGCTGAGTTTATAAACCTATAATATTCAAATAATGGAACTTAACCAAAAAAGGTGATACAGATGAATGTCCGTTTTGTATCTGTGTATTCAAAATGGTTGGGATAGATATATAGTTACATTCTCTTAATGAATAGAGTGATTTGTTCTAATGGTGTTAGGATATCATGTCCACATCTTGTACAGCAATTAACCACTAGGAAGAATGTATGCAATGTGTTAATTATTGAAACTGTCCTACCAATTTGAATTGAAACTCTCTCATTGCTATTTATCAATAAAATTATGGGAAAAAAATAAAAAGCAAAAAGAAAAGAAAAGGTCCAACTTGTCCCCCCATTGATTGACAATACCTCTTTGGTCATTTATTTTATATCTACATATGAGTGAATCTATTTCTTTTTTGCCATAATTTTATTGATAAACAAATAGCAGTTTGTTATTGATAAACAAATTTGACAGTTTCAAATCAAATCGGTAGGACAGTTTCAATAATTAACACATTGCATACATTCTTCTTAATGGTTAATTGTTGTCCAAGATGCGGGCTTAATATCCTATTTACAAACACCATTAGAATAAATCATTCTATTCGTTAAGAGAATGTAACTATATATCTATCCTAACCACTTTGAATACACAGATACAAAATGAACATTCATCTGTATACCCTTTTTTTGTTAAGTTCCATTATTTGAATATTATAGGTGTGTAAACTCAGCAAAATATTCTAAAAGAGTCCAGTAGCCCATAATAGTATTGGATCTTCCGCTTAACTGGCAATGTCAGAAATTGTTGACCTGAGTCCCCCCAGCTCAACATAACAGCATGGCTTTGCTTCTTATATTTCGTCTTCATACTTTTCTACTGGATGGTTAAGACCAAGGTAAAGCAGTACCTATGCAACAAGAGTTGTAGCTTTTGGGTCTGATAAGGTCAGTGAAATCCCCTCAGGATTTATCCTGAGATCCTGTACCTCAGATTGTAGAACCTTTGTCAGTGTGAGCCATGTGGATGAGTCACGGCCATTGCTTAGCCAATGTGCTCTCTGTGAAAGCCTGAGAGAATGTTTTCTCTCCATGTGACTCTCCTTAGACACATTCTACGTCATCGATCACTTTCTTCTTTGGCCCCATAATCTCCTTGATCAGAAAATTTGGGACACTGCCGAATTACATGACGTTACAGTACAAGTTCTCATATGTCCTGAGTCTTAATTGACCTTAGAAGGCTAGGGCCAAAATGTTGGCTTTCCTTGCAGCCCTCCTTTTTCTCTAATTTTGGTCTGCAAACTTAGGTTATTAACCATCCAGAAGACAAGCTTATTGTTATTACCAAACAACTTAGGCTGTTAAGCTTAACCTCACTATCTGTCTGCATATCAAACATCTTAGGCATAATATAGAACAGGTATTTTTCATCAAGTATTGATATGTTGAACTTTAAGTCCCTACAGAATATGATTTTTAAAAAAGAGTGAATCTATTTCTGAGACTACCAGTTTTTCACCGGCCTATTTGTCTACTTTTGTAGCAAAATAATAAAATAATTTTGACTGCTCTACTTTTATAACAGGTATGGGTGTCATGGCTAATCTTGACACTTCCACATAAATTTAAGAATTTGTCAAACTCTACACATACATACATTGGAATTGTGATTGGACTTTTACTGAACCTAAAAACCACTTAAAGATACTGACAGCTTTATGACCTTGACTATTTCCATCAAAGTACATGTGTGTCTACTTTGGTCTTTTTAAGTCTTTCTGAGCTAATGATATAGCTCATTGGTACAGCCATTGCCTAGATTTATGAGTCTAAGTTAAATTCTTAGCACTGCAAAAAATGTCTTTAACCAGGTTTTATATTTTTCCTCAAAATATCTTTCCCTCTTTTTCCAGTCTAAGTAATTCATAAATGGTATTATTATTTATTAAATTTTTCTTTGTTGTTATATAAAAGCAGTAGTTTTGGGAGTGTTTCTGCCATGCTGGGGATTGAACTCAAGCATGATAGGCAAGTAGTCTACCACTGTGTCACACTTCCAGCCTAAATAATAGATTTTAAAATATGGATTCATACCCAGAAATGTTAATCTTCCTAGGTTGCACAGGCTGGCCTCAAATTACTGGGCTCAAAAGATTCACCCACTTGGGTCTCTCAAGCAGCTGGGACTATAGACACATGCCACTCAACTTTAAATTCTTAGTAATTCTAATGATTTACCCACAGATTATTTTAAATTTTCTACATAAACAATGGTATCTCTTACAAATAAAATTCTGTTCCTTATTTTCAATCTTTGAACATTTTCTTTTGTTTCCCTTTCCTTAGGATTTCCAGATAGTGCTGAGCAAAAATGAGACAGCAGGCATCCTTGCCATGTTCCCAATGTCAAAGCTCTACACATTACACTTTGAAGTATGTAGTTCACTATAAATCTTCTTTTTTTTTTTTTTTTTTGTGGAACTGGGGATTGAACTCAGGCCCTTGCACTTGCCAGGGAAACGCTTATTCCACTGAGCCATCTCTCCAGCCCCTATAAATCTTTTTTTAGGAGAAATTTAACTTTTATTGTTAGAATTTGACAGTCTTCAAATACCTGTGATAGGATCATAGTCATACAAAAGCGCACCTAGCAAAGTTTTAGGTGACCAGTAACTTCGTCAATTAGGTCTGCTGGTCCTGGCCCAATTCCTAGGACAGTCCAAGAACCCGGTTCAATCTGAGTACGTCTGGTATCTTGGCTTAAACTTACAATCAGCCCTAGCATTTTTGCATGGGTCAGTAATTCAGTCAGGGCTTCATCAGGAGCTTTGACCACCTCTTTGGGCTGTCCACAGTATTCCCACTCCCTGAGCACTTTAGGATTTCTCTTTAGAATTTGCTTGTAGGCAGAAACAGCAGCATGAGAACACTGGGCAGTGAGTTTTCCTTTTCCCATCTTTAAGTCATTTTGGACCACAAGAACCATTTTGTATTCCCCACTCTCTCCCAAGATGCTTGCTTCAGTTCTAGTGTATGTTTGTCTCCTGGTCAAGTTTTTAGGGACCATCCCAAAGTGAACTCAGAGGCTCCAGCCCAGGCACACACCACAAGCAGCTCCAGCAGCCAAGCTGAGTGTGCCAGGATGAGCCAAGCACTCCATGATCAAGGACGTGCAGAGCACCCTTCCTCATCTTCACTTGTGGGAAGCTGACAGGTTTCTCCTCACTATAAATCTTTGCCCCCTTGTTGAATTCCTGTTGTTTTATTTGGGGAAGTTCTGTATCATTTCTAATGGTCTTTTTTTTAACTAGTTTGTATTGTCTTTAGATAGTAAAAAAAAAAAAATCTTTGTAGATGCCCTCCACAAACAAGAAATTTCATTTTACTGTTTTGTTCTCCTTATATATCAAGATGATTGTAGTTTTCTCCCTTAATGCGCTAATGATGCCAATTATGTTGAGTTCAAACATTAAGTTACATTTGATATTGGGATTAAACCCAACTTGGTCACTTTTAAAAATACGTTGGACATCATTTGGTTTTAAATATTTGCCTCTATATTCTTGAAGTTGTTTTATTATTTTTTACTTATCAGGTTTTAATATCAAGGTTACATTAGCCCCATAAAATGAACTGGGCATGTTTCTATACCCTGCAATTGCTTTTGTAAAATTGGTATTTGTATCTTGGATATTTCAACAATGAAGCCATCTGGCTCCAGAGTTTCTGTGTAGGAACATTTCGGCTACCTGTTCTATTTCTTTAAATGGTTATAAAAGTACTTGTTTTCTATTTCCTTTTGATACACTTCGGCAAGTTGTATGTCTGTAGTGATTTATCCATTTTATCTACTGTTACTAACAAATTGGCACTGCTTCTTCAGACAATCATCAAATTACCACATCAGTGGAAGGCCATAGACACATTTGGATGTTGATATTTGACAAAATTGTTGGATGCCCTCCTTGAAAGACTTCCCTTGAAAAAGAGTAAGGCACAGGTGTGTTGAATTGCTCACTAGCTGTTCTTGGCTTCCAGACTCTGCACTGCACTGCTTCCTTTACTAGACTGCCCCTCCTCCCCTGCACTAAATTCCTTGATTTTGAAAATAACCAGGCATCATTTCCTCCAAAACTTCGAGTCTCTGCACTGTTACTGTGCTGACCACACTGTACTGAGACTCTGTTTCCATGTCTGCAACCACCATTGGACTCTAAGTACCTCCCTGTGTCCACAGGGCACAGCAGAGGCTGCCAATCAGCATTTATGGAGCTGCACTGAGTGACCAGCTAAGCTCTCTAGGCATGTTGCTCATACACACATCTGTTTGTCCCCTCATGTATTTCATTCAGTGGGCACAGACTGAGTACCTACAGTGTGTTGGGGCTGTTCTAGAAAAGAGACCAGTGTGGAAGGAGGAGTGTAGCACCCCAGAAACCAAGTGAAGAAAGGACTGCAAGGTAAAGCTCAACTGTGCCAAATGGTGCCAAGAAATCACGGAAGATGAGACTGAGACTACTGCTGCTGTAACAGTGTGGACACTATCAGTGACTTCACTTTCTCTTAAGTGGTTAGGCGGAAAACCACCATGGTGCTATTTCAGAAAGGAATTGGGGCACTGAGGAGTGAAGAACTGGAGAGAAAGTGGCTATGGTTATTTTAAGAACTTTTGCTGTAAAGGTCAGTAAATAAATATATGGTGTTTTATTTCACTATGCAGTTTTTTATTTACATGCAATAAATACATCTGTCCTTTCTTTCAAAGCTTCTGGGTTTCATCTTTTGAGTAGATATGCAATGTCTGTGGACAGCAACTCTGATGTGAATTTTTCACAGTACATTATTTCCTCTGTCCTTTCTGAGGCCTTCCTATCTTTGGGTTGGAGGAATCTTCTTGCTGGTGTCAAAGGCTGTTTTTTCATTAACCTCAAAATCTTGTGGCTGATTCAAGACTGATATTTCCATATCCACAACTAACTAGAGCTACCACTGCAGCCCTGTGACTGACACCAAACCCTCATGTGGCCACCGCTCTTCCTCCTTGACTCCCACCACCATCCATATACACACAGGCAGGCTCCCACAGGCAAAATGTGAAAGATCAAAGGACCACATGTATTAGGACCATGAGATAAGGAGACACAGATCCTCAAGGACATATTGAAGCAGCAGCAGCAGCAGCAGGTGTGGTCACATCTGCCCCATACTCCCCAGCATGATCCTCCCCAGAATGTGACCACCCTGTATGCTCGGGCCCAAACAGGAGACCACTGCACAGCAAGACACGTCATTTCTCATAGAGCTCTATTGTGGCATATAATAATAGGTACTCTATATAAATTAAATTAAAAATAAAGCTCCAGCAGGTTGCACAGGTTGGCTGTTAATAAATATATCTCTGGGTAATTGTGCCCCAAGACCAGCTCATGACCACTCTCCCTCATCCAGAGAATTATACAAAAATAAATACAGGCTCAGGGGGTGGGGGAAAGGGGACATGCCTGGTTCCATTTTAAAAATTTGTCTTACTTATACCATCCACTGTCCCCTGCTCCTCACCATAGGTATCACTAGAGAATGCCCCATGTGGCCTGGAGAGCCGAGGGACAGGAAGGTCTCTCTTCAGTCCAGCATTCTCAGAAGCAAAGGACCAAGGTCTCTCACCACACAGGCTATACATTTCCATCTCAACCCTCTGGGATGGTAGAGGGGCTGCCCTTCCCCAGATCCCAGAGAGGAAAAACCTGTTCTGCTAACCCCACAAGCAGCCTACGAGAACCAGGCCAGAGAGAGGCACAGCGCAAGCACCAGGAGGGACACACCACTGTTCAGAGCCACAGGGACCACAACTAGCCCAGCCAGGACTCCCAGAGTCTGGGTCAAGGGCCCCCGGAGCTGAGGCGGCAAGCCATACACACATTCTGCAGGGCCTTCTAGTGTGGGAGACCTCTCTGGGGGCTCAAGGCTGGGACCTGCACCCTCTTCATCCTGGGAGACTGCATGAGGTCTGGCCACACCAGACACACTGACTTCAGCCCCCAAGGTACCAGGAAGGGTGGGATTCTGCTCCTGCAGAAGGGCCGGAGCACCTGGCTCACTGCCAAGTGGAATATCTGAGCTGCTTGCCCCCTCAGTGGTAACCTCCATCTGGGCTTGTGTCCCAGCCCTTCCTAGGGAGCTGGTCACTCCACCTATGACCCTATTCGTGTGCAAAGAGTTGGTATCCTTGCCCATCCCTTTCTCTGAATCTCCAGCAAACTGACCCTCTGTAGCCAGAAGTACAGGGCCGTCACATCCTGAGCCATCTGCCCATGGAAGCCACACATCGCCCATAGTGGCTACCACAGAGCGGGCCCCAGAGAGGATTTCTGGAGGAGATTCCTTGGGGCTGTCTCCCTCAGGGCTAGAGGGAATGACAGAGACCCCCTCTTCACCCTCCGCCTCATCATCAGGGTCCTCAGTGTCCTTGATGAGCTCCACACCACGCCCCAGGCGTGCATAGTGCAGCGTGATCTCCTCAGCCAGGGCACTGTTCAGGGCCCGCTCGGGGCCAGGCCACTTCAGGATCAGGTCACGGTCCGTGAGCATGCCTAGGGGATGGCTGGGAGAGGTTCCCCCATCAGTGGGGCCCTCCCCACTGCCTCCTGCCCCACCTGCAGCCACAGCAGCCCGCAGACGGCTCAGGTGGGACAGGTAGAGCTGCTCCAGCTCCTGGTCGATGGTGTCTTCACCAAGCAGCTCCTCCAACCCGCTCACGACCCCCAGGCCCTCAGTGGGCTCATTCATCATATCCCCCGTTTCCCACGTGGCCTCCACCTGGTGCTGGCTGGGTTGCAGGAATGGCCCGCTGGCTCCCTCACTTATATCGGGCCCTGAGGCCTGGTCCCTTGGAGAGCCACCCAGGCCACAGAATGCGGTGGAAGGGGGGATCCTGATGGCTGGTGCCTGAGGGATCTCTGTAAAAGCCACAGGTGGACAGCTTCTGGAGATGTCACCCTCTTCTGGGGAGCTGCCAGTCACTCTAACTTCAGAAACCTGGAGCCATGATGCAGGTGGGGAGAAAAAGAAAATGAATGAATTAGAGAAGGGAATGGGACAAACAGAAATAGTAAAACCTGGCGTGAACCAGACAAGGATTTCCAAATAAAAATGCCTTGAAGAATCCTCAGTACTTCTCTAAACTCCAAAGACTGCCACCTATATTAAAAATAAAATTAGATAAGAGTAAAAGGGGTTCTACAGGTGATGAATCTAAGGCACCCAGTGGGCAGCAATCTTTGCTAGGTAATTACCAGGACATACAGTTAGTTTACCTGCAAACATAGCCAGAAAATCTGTATGAATTCATGACACATTTTTCTTTTGAATGATTTATTTCCTAGCTCTGTCTCTGGAAAAGGCCCACAGTAACTGATCTAGTAACAACCCATAAAAGCCCTCAGATGTGGGTCTCTAGACACTATTTTACACTAAAAGGAACCAGGGCTCCTTAGAGAACTACACACTTCTTGGCAGGTTTGGGGTTGGGCAAAGTACAGATTGAGCCAGGGATATATTATCATAGTAGGATGTCAGGAAGGATTCACCAAATGAGGAGGAGGAGGTAAAAGATAAGAGACAATCAAAATATGTTCTTACTGGGCAGGGAGAGATCAAATTTAAGCATCAAAAGTTAATAAATGAAAAAAAAAGTTAATAAATGAGTCAGATGTGAACCACACACCTGAAGTCCCAGCACTCTAGGAAGTTGAGGGAGGAAAATCACAAGTTCAAGCCAAGCCTGAGCAACTTAACAAGACTCTGTCTCAAAAAATGAAAAAGAGGGATAGGGATGTACCTTAGTACACAAGACCTCATTCAACCCTCAGTACCACAAGAAAATAAAAAAATAACAGATGCAAGTCAGACATGGTTGTATACACCTATAATCCCAATACTCGGGAAGCTGAAACAAGAGGATCACAGTGAGTTGAAGACCAGCCTGGGCTACATAGGGAGATCAAGATCAGTCTGAACTGCATAGTGAGACCCTGTCTCAAAAAAACCAAATAAATAAATAAAATTAATAAATGACCAGACATAGTGACCTATGCTTGTAATCCCAGCACTCTGGAGGCTGAAGCAGGAGGATCACCGTGAGTTCGAGCCAGCATATGTTACAAAGTGAGTTCAAGGTCAACCTGAACCACATAATGAAACTCTGTCACAACAAAACAAAAAAATAATAATTATAAATGTAATGGGCTGAAAGTTACCAAGTGCTTTTAGAATCAATAAATTCATAATGCACCAAAACCAAAAATCCTTTGATTGATCAAAGAACTTTGGAGAAGTTCATTTTTTTTCCAATACTAGTAAGCATAAGGGAGAAAATTAAGTATTTACACAGAACTTCCTGTGTAAAGGTGCTTTGTTTCAGTTTTTTGTTTTGTTTTGTTTTGATAGCAACATGTAGTTCAGGCTCACCCTGAACTTACTACGTAGCCCAGGCTGGTCTCTAATTCACAATGACTCTTCTGCTTCAGCCTCCTAAGTGCTAGGATTACAGGCATGCACCACTACACCCAGCATCTTGTATAAATTAGGCCTCAATGTAGCCAAGCAGTTGATGTGAGCAAGATTTTCTTTCCAGCTAGTAAAAGAAGTGGGAATAATAGAATTAAAAGGACTCAATTCTATTTAACCCAATTTAATCATAATAGATTATATTTAAGAAAGGAATAAAATCAATGGTTTACTAAATTTGTTAAATTAGATAAAAGACCGATTAAATAAAATTAATGAATAAAAACTAAAATAAGAAACATATTTCCACCTGGACACTATCAGCCAAATTCACACTGTGGAAAACATTGCAGGATAAATGGGGTTTAACAAACAAATGGCAAGGAAAGGAAATGGAGATGACAAAATCTGAAGAAACATATCAACCAACATGTCAACCTGGCTTAAATCTTAGAACACTTATGAGATCAGAAAGGTGGAACACTGACGACCGAATATTTCCTGATATGAAGTCTGAAACAATAGTGTTAATTTTCAGAAGTGTAGTAATAGTACTGTGATTGAGTTTTGGGTTTTGTGTTCTTGTTGTCTGGTGGCTTTTTTTAATAATTCTTAATTTAATTTTCTGAGATACCAACTGCACTGTTTGTGAATGAGAGGGTGTCTGGACTTTTTTTTAAAATAATTCCACTGGCCAGGGAGATAGCTCAGTAGAATAAGTGCTTGCCTGGCAAGTGCAAGGTCCTGAGTTCAATCCCCAGTACTGCAAAAAACAAAAACAAACAATCAAGAATCCTGGGCCCCAGGGAGATAGCTCAGTAGAATAAGCACTTGCCTGGCAAGTGCAGGGTCCTGAGTTCAATCCCCAGTACTGCAAAAAAAAAAAAATAAATAAATAAATAATAATAATAATAAACAAATAAATAAATAAAATAATTCCATTGCTGGTGGAAGTGTAGACTGGTGCAACCATTGTAGAAATCAGTGTGGAGATTCCTAAACAAACTAGGGTTAGAGGTCCCATTCAACCTAGCTATTCCCCTTTCGGACATCTTCCCAAAGGAACTAAAAATATCATACCACAGTGATATACACGCACCCATATTTGTAGCAACACAATTTTTAATGGCTAAATCTTGGAAACAACCCAAATGCCCATCAACTGAAGACTAGATTAAAAAAAGATGTATTTTTATACAATGGAGTACTCAGCCATAAAGAGGGATAAACTGGAAACTTTTATAAGTAAATGGATGCAACTTGAGACCATACTCATAAGTGAAATAAATCAGACTCATACTTATAAACATCAAATTGTCTCCTTAGTGTGAGAAAATGAAAGAGTAAATAAAGATCAATATGTACACTAGATATTGCGAAGTGGGAAGAAATTGTTAAAAAGCAAAGAGGAAGGGGCCGGGAGATGGCTCAGTGGAATAAGCACTTCCCTGGCAAGCACAGGGGCCTGAGTTCAATCCCCGGTTCTGCCAAAAAAAAAAAAAAAGAGAAAGAGAGAGAGCGAAACCAAACCAACCAAACAAAAAGCAAAGAGGAACAAGTTTGGCAGAAATGGGAAAAGAAGGAAGAGGAAAAGTATATGAGACAGTTATACTACTAGTTTCTCTTAGTTCGTTGAAAAGTAAGGTTTGTGGTAATACTGTTTGCAGAATTTTTTATGCCCATATTTTATACTCTGAGTACCTACTTTGAAGATAACTATGCAATATCTTAACTCTTGCGATCCTCCTATTATGTTGGTATGAAATTTTGTTTTATTTTTTCCATATAATAAAATTTAAAAAAAAAAAAAAAAAAGAAATGGAAGGAGAGAAGGTAAGGGTATAAAATAAGAATGGCTGCATAGTGATATGTGTTGAAACTGGGTAATGGTGTGAGTCTCTACATTTGAACATCATTGTAATGAAAAGTTAAAATACACACACACACACACACACACACACACACACACACACACCCTTTTGGAGTTCCTCTGCCGCCCCTGCTACCATCATCGGTGGTCTCCTCAAGGCTTCCTCTTCCCTCCTCCCCAACAATCTTATTTTCCAGATCACTGCCTAAGGGAGTTTGTTAAACCTTACTTGCTCAACACCCTCCTGTGGCTCCTCCCTCTGAATAAAGCTAAAGTCCATACCATGGTCCAGGAGGCCCCACCTAATCTGCTTTACCACCTCCCGGACCTCATCCCCACCATACTGCCCTCACTCACTGTGCCTAGAAAATCTCGGCCTTGGTGCTCACACTTCAGGGGCTCTGCACACCCCAATACCCCGCCTGGTTATCCATGTGGCTCTCTCCCTTACCTTCAGATCTCTCAAATCTCACTTATCACTAAGGCCTTCCTAGGCCAATCTAAAGTTGTAAACATTTTCTTTCCCTCTCACCCTCTCACTCTTGCTCTCCCCACCCCCATCCCTTTAATTTTTCCTTTAGCGAGCACTTGTCCTCATCTAAAATACCATATATTTTAATTGCTATTTTATCATATCTCACCCCACTAATAAGTAAACCTTATACAACATTTTTGCTGACTACATTTCTAGTATCTATAATACAGAGCAAGTGCTCCTTAAATATTTGCTAAATTAACAACTGAAATTCCTCTAACCCAAGGCGAATTACTGCATTTTCCCCCTCCCCATCAGCTTCCAGTGTCTGTGACTGTCCACCAACCTAGGATAAACTCAGTTATTTGGCTCTATCACCACTGTGAGTCATCCACCCTGAGGTACAGGGCCCACTTACCTGAAGTGTCATCTGGGGCCATGGACGGAGAGGGGTGGGGGCCACCAGGGAACCCAACGACTCCTGTACATCAGGATGCTCTGCTGAAGAGAAGAGGGGGCAGTTTGGGGCAGAAGATTCATGTAAGCAGGCTTGATTTTTTTTTAAAAAATCTGCTAGCCTAGCCAATTGGCAGTTTTTCAAAGCTTTCTGAGGCAGTCCAAGGGTGGCTATGGGGGGGAGGGCATTCTTTTTTACAGAAAGAAAAGGAAGAAGAAGAAATAAATGGTACAAAGAGGCTAGAAGAGTTAAGAGCTATAGCTCAATGGTAGTGCACTCTCCTAGTCCATGCAAGGCCTTGGACCAAACAAGCAAAAAAACTGAGACATTAAAATAGAGCTAGGAGGCTCCGTTTTTCAGGTGCTTACCCCCAGCAGGGGTGTGGTCATCTCCGGTGCTCATCCTCAGCTCCTCCTCAGGAAGCCTGTGGGGCACAAGAGAGAGCGCATTGGGTACAGCACACCGGGCGGTCAGTGATGCCACCAGGGGCACCTTCTGCACCTCTGTGGTGGTCCATCTTTACCTGAAAGCTGTTGCTTTCACTTCTATTGCCTCCTTTTATTCCTTGACCATGAAAGTCTTAAATACGTGTTTTAGAAATTTTAAACAATATAGGAAAGTATAAAAGATGTAGAAAACAATCACAAATCAGTCAAAGACACCCACAAACACTATCCTGGCAATTTTCATTTTAGAGTTTGTAAACATCTTTTCGCAGCAGGGTTTGTCCATTTAACAGTAAGAAACATCATTATAGACTTTTGCAAACATTGAAAACAGCTGCTTAATACTCACATCATATGGGTTTGTCATAACTTATATAGCTATTCCCTTCCAACTGACCAACTACATTGTTTCTTTTATTTGGCAAACTTCAGAAAACAGTGCCACGCAGTTTTATCACCAAGTCTGGGGGTACATCCCTGGCTGCGGAGGAAGTCATCTCACCCAAGGGCAGATGAGAAGGCTATAGGGCACAGGGAACAACAGAGGGAAGAAAGAAAAAAAAATGGAAAGGGTATCAGAGAGGCCTGGGGGGGCACCCTAGCAGCCTGCCAGGTTACATCACCTTCATAGCTGTAATATGGAGTACAGGGGAGCCAGGATGTGCATGTCAGGCACAAGGGAATCAAGAACAATGAGAATGGAAAGGCAGACACCAGAGCCTGGTACAGAGCTTGGCTTAAATCACAGGACTGTATTTAATGGTCTTATTGCTCCTTCCTCACCAAAGCCAGATTCCTGAATCACACAAGGCAAGCGTATGTCAGATCCTGCCAGGGGTAAGGTCTACTCATGGAGGCAATACTGCTCCTGTTCTCACATATGAGCAGCAAATGTGTACAGATAAGGCAAACGAGGGAAGCACTGATTATGCAGAGACCTGAGGGGAGCTGAGGAAATTGCTCAGATCTTTTGCTTCCTATGCGGTGACTGACACTGCCATTTGGGGAAACAGCTCCTACTTTATGAAAACACCTAATCAATGGCCTTCTCGGGAAGAGAACATCACTAGCTGACCTACACATAGTACTACGGCATTAGGCTCTGGTCTACATGCTTCACACACATCACTCCTCACTGCCCCCTAGCAGCCAGATACTTCTAATCCTTTGAAACAGGGGTGCAATTATTTCTAGCTTACAATGATGAAACGGAGGCTGAGTAAGTGGCTCAAGGTCACACAAACAGAACCAAAACCCAGGCCTTCTGGTTTTTAACCAAAACTCTGCCACTTCTTGGATGAGGGAAGCTGGAGTTTTACCCAGCCCTATCTCCAACTCTTTCTAGAAATGGTTACTACAGGTTTTTCTCTGGATATGTCTCTCTACCCATATTCATTCCCAGTTACCCTGCCTCCATGGGACCAGCAGCTGGGAGACCACCAGACACAGAGTGGCTGTAAGAACTTTTTATGAACCTTGAGGAGGAAGTTTGAACCACGTACAGTATATGGATCTAGTCTTGAAGCTTTGGAAGGGACAGTCCATCCTTGTGGTCTAGGACTCAAGCACACCACCAAAGAGGTATTTGAATCAAACACTACAGAATCAGAAGTGGGTGCTTCCTATACACCACGGAAGAGAAAGGGAGGTTCAGAGCAAACTGCCTTGGTCCCACAGCAGCCCCTCAGCAGGTCTAAAATTCAAGCCTTTGCATTTGTGGCTCAACACGATTTCTTCCAAGTGTCACTGTTTAAAACAAAATCATCTTCCTAGGATGTCTTCAAAAATACCCCCAAATAGAGAGCCATCTCTCCTTCCAGGAGCGGGACAAGTCTCCCTCCCATCTGGCCCAGTCCTGATATGCACGATAACCAAGCTTTCAAAAGCCACTACAAATTCATAGATATGAGAGTAAAAAGATAGAACTCTAGAAGCCCCCACCCAGCAGGAAAAGGATTCTACAATTCAGCTAAAGGAGAGAAAAACCTAAAAAAAAAAAAATCCTTCAGTCACCTAGCCTTCTCTCCCACAGCCAAGGAGGTGAGAAGATGGGGACATCCAAAAATCAAGCCAAGCAACTGAGTCCATTCTAAAATCCACAAAACAGCATAAGCAAACAAGCTGTTCTCTCAACCTCTAAAGTCAGAGAAATGAAATCAGGCAACAGGCTTGTATCATTCACCTCCTCCAACATGGGCCCTCTCCATTGATTATGCCAAGTCATGTGAAAACCTTTATATCTATTCTTCAACAGAGAACCCTTCCCTTTTTACAAATGCAGAACCTCAGGCTTAAAAAATTGCATCTCTACACTCTCTGACTACATACCACACTGATAGCATACAAAGAAGGTACACTTTGAAGACAGTCTTCAATAAAAACCATATATATATAATATATCCAGTCTTTGACAGCAAAACCTTTAAACTGTTACTACAATCAAAATGAGGACAGTAAGAAAAATTGAGTCTAAATGTATACTGACTCACTGATCAGTAACAGAGAAGAGAGATTCTTAGAAAAGTGCAGAGGAAGATTCAGAACAAAACTGTACTTACAGTGCACCTGCTAATTTTCAAGAAAGAAACCTACCCTTTTGGCACCAGTCCCACAAATGACATGTGGCATCCTCTCAGGTGCTGTGGGCAATAGAAGCCCAGGACATACACTGCTGCACATTCTGGACACGCACCATTTGTGTATTTTACACACACTCATCAAGCCTGTGTCACCACGAAGGGGCCATCTCAGGCCTGTACACATTTCCTGGCCCTGATAGCTCCTACTATCATCTGGAAACTTAATGGCTGCTGACCTCAGACAGGACCCCAGGAGACCAGGGGAAAAATTTTAGAAAGAGGTGGCACTGACCCTAGCCTAGGCCAGGCAAGATAGAAAGATTAGTTGCCAACTAGAGAGTGAGCAAGCAAGCAGACAAACCCCCTGGAGGAAAGCAAAACAGGCTCTCAGAGCAGTCACATCACTGCTGTCACCACTGCCACGAGTCCTCTGAGTACCCCCAGTGCTCCTGACTTCAAAGAATTTTGCCAACCACAAGTGGGTCAGGCACTGAAACCCAAAGGGAAACTCAGCAGAGCCCAGCTCTCATGGAGACAACCTGATGATGCTGCTACTCTCCTACAGAACCAACAGTTCAGATAGCTGCCGCCAATACTAGGAATCCCAGTTACCCTGGGCCATGTGCTTTCTCAAAGGGGGTTTATGGGTAGCTGTGAAAGTCACCAACTTATGTAGGACACTGCCTTGCTTTCCCAACTACTGTGTCAGCCTCGATTATGGGACTTGTGGACAAGTCAGCAGGGGATATGAGAGTTCATGCCCTGCCCTTTTTTCATAGTAGTGATGCTTCTCTGGCCACGGTTCACAATAAGAAAACCATTTTACATCATAATCTAGCGTACTCACAAGTGTAAATGTATATGTACACCTAAAACTGAAAAAGTTGTTCTTTGAATGAAACAATACTTACCATTACTACATGTTGTGATGCACTCTGGTATTTTCTATGCCTTTTTAAGACAGGGTCTCACTATGTGGGTTAGCCCGGCCCTGAACTCACTGGGATTCTCCTGCCTCAACCTCCCAAGTGCTAGGATTGTAACTGTGCACCACCAAAACCAGCTTCTACATATCTTTTAAATGTTTGAACCCAGTAAGTTGATTTTGCATCTCAATAAATGGGCAGGACATACAACTTCAAATACCAGCTCGGCCACCTACCAGCTGTGACCTTACGCAAGTTAACCTCTCTGTGCCTCAGCTTCTTCATCTATAAACGGAATGTAATAGTAACACCTACCTCAGTGGGCTATTGAGTAGACTAAGGAAATATCTGAAAAGTATCTATAGAGTGCTTGACAATAATTCCTTCCAAATTCCCACCAAAGGAAACTGAGGCTCTGAGGAAAACAATCTGCCCAGTTTACCCAGCCAGTGGGACCTTTACCTGGCCTGGAACAGCAGTTAACAACTTGGGCACTAAAGCAGGACTTCACAGGATCTAAGCCCAGCCCTGTCACTCAAGTGTGTGGCATCAGACCCACATCCCTGTCCTTAACCATGACACCCTACTAGCTTTCCATGGAATAAAAGGGAGTCATTTTCACATTCAGTCCTCTCGCTAGACAATTAAGATGACCACTGATCCATCCTGCTTCAACTCAATGGCTCTCATTTCCCCTAAGGCGGCCAACTCAGATTCGGATATCAAGTTGGTTCCCATCCACTCAGTTCTAGGTGCACCTAAAACCCACTGAGATCTTACTGTGCCTTGGACCCAGTGACAGACCCTAGACACACCAGTGAATAAACCCACCTAGGAAACACAATTCAGTGTGGAAGAAGACATTAAAAAATACTCAAACTCATTCTTTCAACAAACATTTATTAAGCACATGCTAAGTGCCAGGCACCATGGCCGGCCTGTGAGAATACAGTGGTGACCAAACGCAGACCATGTCCCTACCCCTCACGGAGCTTACAGTCTAGTCATCCAGTGATCCCCTAATGAAGGTCTGACTATAAACTGAGGTCAGTACCTTCAGAAAAGTAGAGTGCCCTAGAACAAGGTGCCCTGGCCCAAAGCACAGAGCTAGCAAAGGCTGAAGGATGCTGAGAAAATAAGCAAGGAAGCAGGCAGGGATGTAAGAGGTGGCTCCAGAGCCTTGTGGGGGAGGTGATGAATGCAGCCCTAGATAAGGTGAGTTTGAGGAATCTTTGGGATTCAATAAGGTAGAAACACCAAGTTAGGATACATGAGGCTGAAAGAAAGAACAAGGAGAAGGGCCAGAAAGTTCAGAGCAAAAGTAGCAGAGTATAGTCTCCAGGCCAGGGAAGGAACTATCTTGAGAAGGAGTATCTGCCCAGACACTTCAACAACACTGCAGACCCTCTTGTGAAATCTGGCCAATGTTGGGATGGATGACTGTGTACGTGCGGGTGAGCTAGTGGAGAAGCCTCAGGCAACACTTAGGTCAGTTTGCAGTGAAGGGGGAGGGTGCCGGGTGCTGGCCAGGCAGAGGTGGGGTCAGCAGAGATAGTGATCCTGGCCAGAGGAAGGGTCATCAGATAGCATCAGGTGAGGACAGGAGAAAATCTGCCAGGACAGAGAGGGGCTGATAAGGTCAGATTTCAGAGCCAGGGACAGAAAATGGGGCCCTGGAGCACAGTGGGGAACTGGCCCAAGAGTGAAAGGACCTCTCCTTACCTGTAACAGAGGGGAGGGAAATTAAGAGTGCAGGCTTGGGAACTGCAAGTGGCAGAGTTGTGTTCTTATGGTTTCTATTCTGTTTTTAGAAGCAGGAGGTAAAGTCTGAAGGTAAAGAACATTTGAAAGTCACATGAGATAGGCCAAGTGTGGTGGTGAATTCCTGTGATTCTAGCACTCAGGAGGCTGAGGCAGGAGGACCACCAGGAGTTTGAGATCAGCCTGGACTACATGAGACCCTGTCTCCAAAAAAAAAATGTCACATGAGGGAGGAGATAAGAGCAGATCAGAAAAAGAGTAGGACTGTCAGGACAGGTAGCAAATGATCCTGAATTTGTGGCAAGGCTCATCTATTGTGCTATATGGCATTCTCTAACAGGGCTTGCCTGAGAACCCAAGGAGGTTTCAGCTAAACTGAAAGGTCCACAGGAGGAGACTGCAAGGGGAACCACACAAACATTCCTAGTGAAGGAAACAGTCACAAGCAAAGGCCCTATGGCAGGAAGGAGTAAGGTCCTTTGCAATAACAGAAAGACCATGGTGAGAGGAGATCCAGAACAGAGAACAGTTTATGAAATAAGACTAATAACTAGAGACCAGATTGGAGGGCAGGGGAAGGGGACGCTTGAACACAAGGGGGTCAGGAGTTGGTTGGTCTTTAAGACTAGGACACCTGGAGCTGGGAATGGTGGTGCATGCCTGTAATACCAGCACTGGGGAGGCAGAGGGAGGTGGATCACAGAGTTCAAGGCCAGCCTTAACTACTCAGCAAGACCTCACCTTTAAAAAAAAAAAGATACTTAAACCAATGCAGACCAGGAGGTCTTCTACTCACACCAGTCTAGAACTTTGGACTGTGTGAGTCTCAGTTTACTCATCCAGAAATGAGGGAGTGAAAATAGTCTAGTTCACACAGACTATTATCAAAAGAAAATGAGACTTCTCATTTCACCTAAAGTCAGCAAAGTCCCTAGCAAAGAGCAGGGGCTCAGGCAGGTCTCACACAGGCCCACCAAAAAGCCTTTGTCTATCTTAGGACCAATCTGCATCTCTACTTTCCCTGCGTGAAACTAGAACAGTGCCAAGCACATAGTAGGCCCTCAATAAATGCTTGGTGGTGGATTATCTCTATGCCTGAAGGCTACTAAAAGTCTAGCTCTACGAAGCAAGAAAAGTTCAATGTCCACCACAGACTCCCTTCCAGGCCCCCACCTGATACAGCAATCCCCAGGGCACCGTGGACCTGCAGCCACCATTTCCTAAAGCCCCTCTAGTGGGATTCCCACAGGTAAAGGTGTCCCCTGAGGTCCTTCCCCATTTCCCCAGAGGGCTGGATCCTGGGGGGATAGCCATTCTTCAACAGCACTCCGAGTCACCCCATACCATACAGGTTTTAAAACAATAATAAGTTGAAATGTACTCGCCAAGAAAGCCACCAAACCTACAAAGAAAATCTTATCGCTGATCTTGCAATGAGCACCAGCCTCCCCTTTGCAAGAACTAAGATCAAAAGATAAGACGCTATCAAAAAGCCATCTGCCCACTTTAAATAGTATCACAAGTCATGTTAGGAACCACAGACCCGGGGCCAGTTACCAAAACAATTGTCTAAATGGGGCGCTTCAATTTCTCCTTAAAACCACCCATGTATTTTAAAGAAAAACACCCTTTCCACCTTGGCCCAGTAAGGTTTTGATTTCTCTGTTCCTTTCCTTTCACACTTTTGAAAATGACCAAACTCCATCACCCAAATTGTCAAATCTTCAGACACGGCTCCCAAGACAGCCAGCTGGGATGACAACTTGGGCAAAGTGACAAATTAAGGCGGCTGTGGGGCACCACAACCACTCAATCTCTTGACCTGGGGAGTAGCCACACAAGTGCATACATAGGTACAAATCCACTGAGCCATACACTAGAGATGAGTGCACTTTATGCAGATACACCTCAAGAAAACACAAAGCACAGGTAAAAGGAGAGGTGCACTGCGAATTTGCCCTAGACCTTCCAGGCCTTCAAGAGGATCAGTATTTCTAGCATTTCTCCTCTGGTCCCATCTTCACTAACTGAATGACTGAGGAAGATGGCTCCCCTCTCTGAACTCCACGTCCCCCTATCTTAAATGGGGATAATCACAGTATCTACATCACACAGCATGTATAGCTAGACAGAACAGACCCAATGCTCTGAGTAAGCTCAGTAAATGCTGACTACTGTTATTTTCTGTAGCTATCACCATGCCTTGGTTACCTTGCCCATGTCTGCTATATCCAAATCAGCAAGGCATGGCCCTCATCTCCTTTAGATGAGGAAGCTGAGTCAAGGCCACACAGCTGATGATGGGCAGAGCTGACTTTTTAGGAGAGGAATTTGTACATGAGTACCTACATATCAATACTAACACCTCCATGGTACTACTTTGAAGTAGGCTCAGCTCTGAATACTTTTACTCACATCCGGTGAGGCAGGCACCAAAATGACCTCTTTTACACACGACGGTAGGGTCATCTGAGCCACAATGTGGTTAAATGAGTTGGCCAGACTCACAAAGCCAATTAAATGGCAGGGCTGGAATTTGAATACAGTCAATCTAATGCTAGAATGCACTCTTAATGCTGTAAGCAAAGCCATGATGCCAGCCCCTTTAAACTGTCCAGGCTCCCATGGAACTCACAAGTTGGTAAATAGTCCTTAGACTCTCACTCACTTACTCAGGCACATCCACCCTCCAACTAAAAGCAAGATCTTCCTGAACCACTCACTGCCTAAGGCTTTACTAGGACCAGCAGAACTCACAAAAATCCTGCTGCGGCCAGCAGCTCCTAATCCAACACCCACAAGGCCCAAAGAAAGCACTTTCTTATTTCTACTTTCAGCCCTCCCAGGAACAGAAAAATGTACACATTTTGGAGAGACTCCACTGATTCTAGGCTATAGACAATTACAGCAAAAATCAAGCTTAGCCCTTAAAAAAATTCATACCTTAATAGCAGAAAGCTAGGACAATCTTGTTTTCAGGCCTCCCAGGGAAAACTGGCTCTTTCTCCTAGCCTCTAAATGGTTATAGGAGGCGTGGCACAAAGCAAGAAACATGAGCTTCAAGTCCACCCTCCATCTGGATCTGCCTATCCCAAAGCCACTGCTTCCCTGAAAGTATGACCTCACACCTTAACCTCTGCAGGAGGCCTCATTCTAGATTAGAGCATACAGTAAAATGCATATAGGCTTCAAGGTCAGACGGCTGAAGTGAAAAATCCAGGCGCCATCACTTCCTCAACCAGTTTCTCCATTTCTGGAACCCTGATTTCCTGCTCTGTTACATGGGGCTCAGATTCCCGACCATCCACTGGTATGCTCTTTGGTCCACACTACCATGTCGCTGTAGTTCTCCCCACTCACTCGAGCACACTGCCCATCATACACACCAGGCCTATTCCCTGCCTCAGGACCTTTGCACTTGCTGTTCCCCCTACGTAAAACACACGTCTTCCATATATGTACAGAACTGCACCCTATCTTTTATGACTGAGTTTAAACAGCACTTTGTCATAAGTCCTTCCTGTTCCCTTATCTACCACCTCTCTCTCCTGTAACTCTAACCTATCACCATCCAGGATTCACCTCAGAAGCTCTCTGAACACCATATCCTAAGCAGCCATTCCCTACCAATCTATCCCATTTCCCTTGCATTTCAGCAGCTAACCTTATCCCTATTTATCTGTTTACTTGCTTGCTTCAAACTGTCTCCCACGGGACCCTTATATGATCCTTGAGGGCAGGAAAGATGTCTGTCTTGTTCAGGGCTTTACCAGTGGCACTCAATAAATGAATGAATGAAATCCCAGGCATTTAAACAGTGACAAGCACACGTTTGGCTTCTACTATTTTTTGGCTGACTGAATGCACCCTCCTCCCTGTCCCGGAGAGCAGGCCTGAGGGATTCCTGGACCAGGATGCTGGTCCTCCCTCTGTATACAGCTCTGCGTTGGCGGAGGTGGCGCTGGCAGACATTACCTGCGCCTCACCGGCTTCATGCAGCTCTTCAGCTGCCTGGCCTCAGCCTCCACGGGACCCTGGCACTCAGGCTGTGGCTCCAGCTGCTGCAGCTGCTGCTGCTGGGGCAGCCCTTCGGCATCAGTGGGTGTGGGAGCGGGTGCGATCCGGAGCAGAACTGTATAGTTGCGGCCGTGGTTGTTGGCCCAGAACGTGCCCTCGGGGGTCTCATAGCGCACCACGAAGTCGAGGCGCGCCCCATCGCCCGCGCCCTCAGCAAAGGGCAGCTGGAAGGCAAAGCGGTCAGTACGGCCGCCGTCGTCGGGCGAGGAGGTGGACGCCTGGCCAGGGCCCAAGCCGAGACCTGAATCCAGGATGGGATCTCCTGCTCCTGTTCCTCCCGCTGCAGCCCCAGGCGGGCTGCGCGGGACGTAGCGCGCTGGGTGGTCGCAAAAGGAGGCCCAGCCGTCGTGGGAGGCCCGCACGTGCACCGCCTTCTCGAAGGAGCGGTTCAGCACGCGCACCAACCCGCGCAGCACAGGCGGGCGCCCCCCAGGCACCCACACCCCGGAACCCCCGGGGACTGCTCCAGGAGGTGGCAGCAGCGCCTCCAACTCCACCATGACGCGACCCAAGCGCTCCAGACGGCCCGGCGCGGGCGGCAGCGAAAATGTGGGCACCAGGTAAAAACCCCCGCCAGCGGGGACGGGGCACGGCGGTGAGGGCTCGAGAAAGGCCTCCTCTTCCTCCTCCCCTTCATCCCCATCCTCGCCGTCGTCGTCCTCATCTGCCCCGCCGCTACCGCCATCTTGCCCGGCCGCCGCCGCCATCTTGCCCGCCCCGGGCCCGCCCCACGGCCGGTAGCGGCGTAGCTGCGCCAGCGGCAGCCCCAAGGCCTCGTCGGCGAAAAGCACCCTCCGCGGAGCCACCGCCACCTCGACCGAGGTGCGGGGCTCACCCGCGGCCGGCGAGGGGGGCGTGGGATGCCGCAGCGGGGGCTCCACAGGGGCCATGCGCGCCATATCGGCGGCAGCGGCGGCGGCGGCGGCGGCACCGACGGCACCGGCGGTGGGACCGGAGGGGGCAGGGCCCGAAGAGGTGGCCAGCCAATGGGAAGGCCAGCGCGGGGGGGGGTAGGGCTCACGAGGAGCGTAGGTGGCGAAATGAAGACTGGTCGGGCAGACACCCAATGGGCAGCCGCGCGTGAGTGACGCACACGCTGAATGAAGCGCAGAAGAAGCGCTCAGCCAATGGAGGCGCGCGAGAGTGGGCGGGGTGGGAGGCGGAAGGAGTGTGGAATCAATCAATGGGGCGGCTGGAGTGGGGGTGGTGTGTGACCCAGGGGGCAGACAGCACAGTCGGGCAGGCAGAGGGGAAGTCTAGGTGGCAGTGTAGGCAGCAGAGAAAGTGGTATGGCTGCAGGCCTTCGAAGGTTCAGCAAGAAGCGAACCCAGAAAAGTGGGAGATCCGCGGGTTGCGTAGGCTGTGGGACGTAAAACAGAGACAGAATACAACCAATTGAGAGCCGTGTGAGGGTGACGTAGAGCCAAGATGACGATAATACCTATAGCGAGCCAATGAAGAGTCTTGTGAGCGTGCAGTAGGGCTTCAGGGGACGGTGCCAAGACGGAACTGGCCAATACAGAGACTAAAAGACCAAGAGGCAGTGTGTGAATGGCCGGGGGGCGGGACCATAGGAAACAGAGCCAATGGGAATGGGGATGAAGGCAGGAGCGAGGAAGAGAGATGGCAGATAGCCAATGGAGCCAGGGAGAAGTCTCTGCGCCTCAAACAGCAGTGTTACTATGCAATAACCAATACCAAGGCTGGATAGTGTAGTGGAGACTGAGGGTGGGCGAGACAGGAAGAGCAGAGCCAATTGGGGGGGGGGGTTGTAGGTGATGTGAAGGAAGGCGCGAGTAGCCAATAAGGAGTCTAGGGAAGAGTAAGGTGCGCAGGTGGATCCTGGGTTATTGGGTAGTTGAGAGCAGAACCATAGAATGTAGGCAACCAATAGGAAGCATGTTCTCCCTTGCCTTCTGTGACTCCCCATTGCTCTATGAATGCTAGTTTCTTAAGGCCTAGACTGCACCCTAATGTGAGTCCAAAGAAGGCCAAAAGGTTCTCCTTTAGCAGATGAGTAACCTCTACCCACCTCGCACCTCTTGAGTGGTGCTACTAGCCAAGAATATCTCCGTTCCTTAATATCTGTGATTGGTCCTTAGTGTTCTCCAAGACTTGAGACTATTCTTGAATGAATGGCCATATGGGAAATGGGTCTTTGCAAAGAGTTAGCTTTCTCTGACTTCAGCTCAGCAAACACTGACTGAGCCTTGCTGTGTACACCCAGGAGTTCAGTGGCCATATTGATAGGTACTGTTAATGTAACCACAAAGTCCTGCCCTACTTGCCCCACAGTGGCCTCACCTCCATTCCTTGTCTCCTCATGCCTGCTACTTTTCCTGCTCCAAAACGTGCTGTTCCTTCTGCTCCCTCAACCTAGTGAAGTCCTTTGACTCTACCTTTACAGTCTCAGCTGTGGAATGGAACTGCAGCTTGTTAGCTGAATATGTTTATGAACATGTTCCCCCTCCATTCTAGGAGAATTTTACTGAACACCTACCAATTGCCAGGTTCTAAGTATGCCGTTATGTCAGTCTATCCCTCACAGCATTCCTAGGAGGGAACCACCCTCCACCAGCAACCTCTCCTATTTAGGGCTCAGGATCCAGAAAGGAGTCATGGCTCAGAAAGGAATATGTTCTCCTATAACAAAAAATCATGAATGAATGGGGGCTTAAGTAAGATAGAACTTTATTTCTTTTTACTAATCTCAAAGCTTAAGCTGGAAAGATTCCATCCTGCCCACCCACCTTGGGTATCATCTGTGTCCTGGTCTGGCTCCTAGACTGATTCTTCAGATCCTGCATGCTCTCTATTCACATTTCCCCAAACTCACCATGCCAGCATTCTGACCAGTCACCTGAACTTATGAAGTAGTCTCCTCACTGGTCCCTGCTGCTTTCTTCACACCCTACACTCCCACCTTTGCCAGTCAAGGGCTCTGGTTAAATTCTAAGACCATTCACATCTCCTCTTGCTTAAACCCCTCATGAGTTCCTGCTCACTCAGACCAAAAGCCAAGTCCTTCCTGTGGCCTACAAAGTCTTGCATGGTTCTAATCCCATGTCCCCTCTCTGACCTCACCTCCTACCCTTCTTCCTCTCACTTCCTTCTAACCACACCAGCCTCCTTGTAGACCATGAACAAAGCAGGCACGGTCTCACCTCAAGGTCTTTGCACTGGCTTTTTTCTCTGGAATTCCACAAGTATCTACATGACTCCCTCCCTTCTTTCCTTTAAGTCTTTGTCAAAGGCCCCCTTCTCTGAGGAGTTTCTCTGTTTAATCCCGTCCTCTCTCCCTCAAATCCCAGCACACTCAATCCCCTAACCCAGAATCCTTCTATAAGAGATTATATGGCCCAAGATAGAAATTAGAAAATGTATGGAAAATATTTTGGCACTGTGACAGATGCCCTATGAAAATATTCTTTGTTGATGTATTTTATTAAAAATGTCTTGGTCAGCACCCCTTTCACTCTCTTCCTAGCAATCCTACAATAAAGTTAATTTTATATATATATTTTTGAAAGATAGAAATGAGATACTGGGCAGAGGAGATAGCTCAGAGGCATAAGCACCTGCCTGGAAAGTGCAAGGTCCTAAGTTTGATCCCAGGTACTGCAAAAAAGAAAAAAAAGAAATTAGGTACTAATCTCTGCTCCTCTCTGCCTACCTGGCATCCAGCCCTCATTCTGCAAAAATCCAGCAGTAGTAGCATCACCCTTCTTACACCCCAGGTCCAACTCAAATGGCCTTCTGGGGCCCTTTGGGCCACTACCCTTACCTTTTCTTCAACTTGTCTGGCCAATCTGTCTCATATGCTGATAGTAAGGGAGAGATGATGAAGGGAAAGTATAAGGAGAATGCAGCCCATACCTTGGACCCTGAGAGAGAAAATCAGCCCCTTCTCCCAGTGGGAGACAGGTGCTAGGACAGGGATTGGGGCCTCAACTTCTAGAACTGACCTCGTTTATAATTATACTGGTAGTATAGGGAATGTTCAGACCTAGGTCCAAAGGGAACAAGATAACATTAACATTAGGGACATCCCTACAACCAGCACCCTAGAACTCCTTGCTGACAGGCAGGCTCCACACCCCCTCCTTTGCTCCCTCCTACAAGTGACAGTTATGTTAAGCAGGGTCCCTCAGACCTCCAAGCTTGGGACCTTCATCTTGCCTTGGTGCCTCCACTGCCGCATAACACACACAGGCCATCGTTGGTTCTTAAACATATCCCACCAACTCAGGAGCCCCAACCAGTGAAAGTGTCAAGTTCTGTTTTGAACTAATGGTAAGAAGGGTTGGGTTTTTTTTTATTGTTTTTGGCTGATTTTTTGGTGCTGTCTCACTCTCCCTTCCTCCCTCCCTCCCTCCTTCCTTCCCTCCCTCCCTTCCTCCCTCCCTTCCTCTGTCCCTCCCTCCCCCTCCCTCATTTACAAAGCCAAGCCATCAAGTCCATTCTGGACTCTTCCAGAAAGGAGAGTTGCATTAAAGAAAGACGCTGTCCTTTTTGGTTTTGATGGCTTAGAAGGTAAGGAATCAAGAAGGGTAAACAGGGTGGGTCTTGGCCACTATATTTGTACTGTGTGAATAAGAAGCTCTTTCCAATTTCTCTTCCCCAAGCCAGAAGCCAGACTTGCAGAAGGGCTGGAGTAGACATTGGATAACTATAACCCTGAGCCCCACAGGGGGACGCTGGAAACCTTAGCTCCAACCTGTTAGCAGAAGCCCCTGGAGGCTGGGTCTCCCTGTGACCAGTGGTTGGAGCAAAGGAGTGTACCTGAATGAGGAAATGTGGCCTCATCTCTTGGACAATCTTAAGACTCTACAATTAAGCCACCAAAGGAATATTCAAATCCCAGAACCTCTTATCGTTGCATCTTAGAATTTAAAGCCTGAGACTGTTGTGCTCAGAGAAACTGACAATTTCAAAGCCCAGCATCAAGGACAGTGGGACCCCCATTTGCCAGTTCTATGATCTTGGGCAAATCAGTGGACTACTTTGTGCCTCCGTTTTTCCCACTGTATAACAGCAGTACAATAATGATGAAATGGCCTGGCAAAGATCAAGCACAACTGTTTGTCGGAAGTGTTGGCCACTATATCTGGCACCTGGAAAATTCAAGAGCAATGTCAGCATGATGGTGGATATTTGGAATCCTAAATCCTTGGAAACTGGAACTTTCTGAAGTGAAACATCAGAATGGCTGAGGGCATCAAAAGCATCAGGCTATGGTGTTCCTTTCAGGAGAGAACCAGTGTCCCAAGGGCCCTCTGGGCTTCATCACAAGATTGGGCGGATGCTTGAATACTGGCAGCCTGCTTGGGATCTGCCCAGTAGTGCAGCTATCAGGTCAGACCTCGCAAGCCCTAAGGCATGATGAGGCAAGATTTTCCTCTCTTCCCTTACTCAATGACTCCGTGGCTTCTGGGAGCCAGTAATTCTCAGACTCTTCTGTTCTGCGAATTTTAAAGGGTAGAGGTAGACTCCCCACTTTCTCTCCATGAAGTACTTAATGCCCCCACCCCCTTTGGGAAAGAGGGCAGCAAGGATGCACCCCCTCCCTTGCCAGCACAAATGTTGGTAACCTATCAGTCCCACCTAAGGGGGAAACAGCCCTGAGGCAGAGTGAAGCCTCTGGGAACCCAGCCCTTTTCTTTCTCTTCACTGATGTTTCCTGTCATACACAGGCATCAGATTCCCTGTTTGCCCAAAGACCCTCAAATACACTCTCTCACACACAGTGGTGTCTCTGCCTGCCTTGGGATGCTGCTGTGATTAGAGTTTTTTTCCTTTATTTTTTTCTGACTGTACACACTTTTGTTTTAAAAACTGTGGTTTCTCATGAGCTCTGTTATCTCATTGATACCTCTCACCTCTGTGGTAAGGGGAAGAAATCATATTTTCAGATGACTCGTAAAGGGCA